ACGGGGCAGCCGGCGTTCGCCGGGAGCGGCGCGGCGCGGCGCCTCCGGCCCCCTTCTCCCACAGCCTCCCAAAACCCCGTCGGCAACCGGGGCGGGGGGGGTCCCGCGGTCGGGGCGCCGCACGGCCTTCCCCGGTCCGCGCCCCTTGCCTTCAGCGGCAAGTTCCTACTTTAAAACATTACATTTTAATTATCTTTTAAAATATCTTTAGCCTCAAGGGTCAGAAGAGGCCAAAGCGTTTGTAAATGCCTTCCTGAAGCGTAGCATGCCAAAAAAGAAAGATGAAGCTATCCAGGATATACTGACTCGGAAAGCTGTGGTTCTTGAGCATTATTCCAAAAAAAAGACAAAGCAGAAGAGGAAGAAAACGAAAGGTTTCACTGCCAAGCAAAGGCGAGAAATGCGTCTTTTTGAAATTGAACCCGAACAGCAAAGGTAAGATCTTAAATAAGTGGGAAGTACGCCAAAAGTACGTAAAAGCAGCAGCGCGTACATGTGGATACTACCCCTTCGGTACGTAAAGTCAGCCTCAGACTCTGTCTGTGGCATTTCACCATGAGAAAACTATTCTTTTGTCTGTATAGTTGGAAAACTCATTTCTGTTTGTTACTAGTTCGCTTTCCTTTTGTATAGCTAAATAGAACAAGAAGTTAAACCCAAATACGCCCACCTCTGATTTCAGTTTTAAAGTTAGTTTGCCTGCGACCAGAGAGCCAAAATCCTGCATCGGGTTCCTCGCACCAACGCATGCCGAACAAAGCCCCTGCTGCTGCTGACGTGCAGTAAGCGGGGAGGTACAGGAGTAGGAATCTCTTCAGCCTTAGACATAGCCACATCCTCTGAAACACGTCACCGTTTTGGGCTGATAGAGGAACAGACTTAGTTTGTGCCTTGTTTTATGAAAGCAAACCTGCTGCTTGGAGTGGCTTATGAGAGCAGATTACAAGTTATGAGAACGGATTACAAAATTATAAATGTTAGTGTTAACTCCATTGTAAATATGGATTACTTCCATAATCAAGCAATAGATTTTTTTTTTTTTTATAATTAAATTCTTATATACTACTTCTTGTCCTTTTACTGCAGATACACAATCTTTCTACCACTGCACGAACTCTGGAAACAGTATATCAGAGACCTGTGTCACGGACTTAAACCAGATGCGTAAGTTGAGATATTTTAACATTAGCGTAGTTTTGATTTAGTAGATATTTCCAGGTTTACTGAGTTACTGCTTCAAACATCATAGTTACTTGATAGGATATGTACTATTTCTGTAAGCTTTGGCCATGATGTCAATAGTCACGGTCACATTTTGTAAACCTAACTTTCCATATAATTTTCTTTCCCTCTTCTCTGATCCCACCCTCTTCTTCAAGGCAACCACATATGGTTCAGAGCAAACTGCTAAAAGCTGATCTCCATGGAGCTATTGTTACAGGTATTCCGTTTCTTTTCTTTCACAAAATCCTCCGAAGTTCAGTAGACACTCCTATTCGGATACTTATTTTTAAATTCCTTTTAGTATCATTAACTGTAGAGTCACATAGTTGAGACCCTATGTTGATGGATTCTTTCCCTCTGGTGTTAGTTGCAAAGATTAACCGCAAGTTTTACCAGCGATTACTGTAATTGCGTTATTTCAGAATATTGCAAACTGGTTTTTAAAATCATGAGGCAACTGTAAAAGAGCAAATAAACTGCCTGCATCTGAAGCTTTCTAATCCATACATACTTTTGTTCTTTCAGTCACAAAATCAAAGTGCCCCTCTTATGTTGGGATAACAGGAATCATTCTGCAGGAATTTAAACATGTCTTCAAAATTATCACTAAAGAGGACAAATTAAAAGGTATAAGACATTTTTTTCAGTGCTTTTCACAATTTGAATAATCAGGAATTTCTTAAACACACTATTCATCTTACGTGTCCAAGTACATTGTTTTATATCAGTGCTTTTAGTTCTTTGCATAGAGTGGCAGAAGTCAGTGTCTTTACTGACCATGTAACAGCCCTGTATTTTATGGAAAAAGTATCTCATTAGAAATGAGCAAATAATAAAAAAAACGCATTTCCAATGAACGCAGCATGATTACGCACATGGCTCATTCATCTGATTCACGTTAGATATTCTCTGCAGCACTTACTGCAAGCTCCTGAAAGAAGACTAACTTTATAATTCAAGTTTAAAGTTTAGAAGTTTTGGTTATTTTTCTTCTCTTGCTAAAGCATAAAAACTTTGAAATGTGGCAAATGTCAAGCCTACACGTGAATAATATCCCCCCGGTACGTCAGTATCTGTTCATAACTTTTGTTAATTTCTTTCTTTTTGCATTTTCAGTTGTTCCCAAACTTAACAACGTGTTTAGCGTGGAGATTGATGGATTCATTTCCTACATCTATGGAAGCAAGTTCCAGCTTAGAGCAAGTGAGCGATCTGCAAAAAAGTTCAAGTTGAAAGGAACTATTGACCTATGATTTAATGGAAAATCAGAAGTATTAATAGAAATGTCTGCCGTTTTCCTGCAGTTTAAAGACCAGGTTTTCTGGCAGATTAAATAGCTATGTGAATTTTTTCTAAAGCATTTCTTCTTACTGAAGAATGACTAGTTATCTGTTGTCTTTTATGCAGTCTCTCAGACTGTTGGAGTTTGTTGTATCTGGTTGTTTTGTTATTTGTATATAACATTCTGGCTTTTATTAAATTTATATGATTAGTATTGCTTACCTGACTTCTGTTTCAATTTATAATCACAAATTTGCACAATGAAAATTGTATCATGTAACTGATAAATGTTATTGTTGCCTTCTGTATAAACTGGGCTCCATCTGCCCGTTATAAGCTTATAATGAGGCTGTAGGTGATAAGAACTGCTCTTCTATAATCGCTGTTCCTGGGCCAACATCAACATCTTTGCCTGGTACAAGTTGTTTCAACTGATAGGTTTTACCTTGAGTATCAGTTTCCCTGAGGTTAATATTGTTACAGATAACATACATGAGTGAAAACAAACATACTAAACATGTACTGCAGCCCTGCAAGTTTGCTTACCAGGTGCTTACTAATACCACTCTAAGGTTAAATCAGGTATGTCTACATAGAGAAATACATACTGTCATGCCAGAGTGCAGGGAACACAACACATCACATAAGAGGGAAGCACTTGAAGCTAGAAATTCAAAGAAAGAAGTGACCCTCATTCAATCTTGTACTTCAATTATTCATAAAGCAATTTTGTGGGTATTTAACATCTATTCATAGAGCTTTAGCCTATTTTTATATATATTTAGACATGGTGTCTATGTTATATATATGTTACATACACAATTTTAAAAAGGCTAGTGTGGATGGCAATTCTCTCACCTGTTTGCAAGCACTACATCACTGCAACACAAGAAGTTGGGTGGTTTCATAATGCAAGTCTTCTAAACTCACCAGCCACCCTTGTGAGCCACCCTGCCTACAGCACCACTTGTGAAGAAGTTTCTAGTGTTTAAACCTTTTATAAATCCTTGCTTTTTGCAGCAGTCTGCAACAGTGGTTGTAATGGGGACCCCATACTTGCACCAGTGGAGACCTGTTCAGCTTTCAGTGCCTGTGCTTCATGTATCTTCAGCCCCTTTTTATCCCCTTTTTTCATATTATTTTTTTAATATATACTTCCAGGTTACTTTTTTGACTCCCCAGATTACAATCTCTCATCAACTAGGCAGGTTTGACTTGTTTGAGAGGTGGAAGTGACCCGTGTATTTAGATCACATTTTTCTGTTATAAAAGACCCTCTGTGGTGTTTATGTTATAAAGGTAGTTTTCAGAAGCTTTCAATTTAAATTTTAAATTCAATTTCAGGATCAAATGAAAGACCCATTTCTCGGAAGAGGAGTTTTTCCCTGCCACCATTCAAGTCTTTAAGAAAATTACCCTGCTTGCCTATAAAGAGAACATAGCTGTTCTCTCACATATACTACACACCAAAGCCTAGTACCGGGGTTAGGAGGAGAGCTCCTAACTGCACTGCAGAGCACGAGCCATTTATCTGCCATGAGAAAGCCAAAGAGCATCACCACCTCTGACCCTCCCCAGTCCTGTGAAAACACTAACCGTGCCAGTCAGCCTCCGAAGCGCCTCCTTCCTTCCTGGACCTGTTGCTGGGAGAGGTTACAGGAGAGCTGCACCTCTCGGGCACAGTCCCTCAGATGCAGACCAGATTTAGCATCACTGACCCAGACCCTGATCAGTTGAAATCACAGCATGGGCAATACTGGTTTTCAAGAACAACAGACGGCTTCTCTGCCCCCTTTGAAGTCAGGAAATAAAGCAGATGGTATGGAAATAAATCTTTGTTGCAATCATATGAAGTACTGCCCTTGAGATGGGGACAACAGTGGTTTTGCTAGAGATGTATATTTTATACAAGGAAATCATAGAATCATTTAGGTTGGAGAAGACCTTTAAGATCATCAAGTCCAACCATTAACCTAGCACTGCCAAGTCCACCACTAAACCACATCCCTAAGCACCACATCCACCTGTCTTTTAAATACCTCCAGGGATGGGGACTCAGCCACTTCCCTGAGCAGCCTGGTCCAGTGCTTGACTACCCTTTCGGTGAAGTTTTCCTCATATCCAACCTAAACTTCCCCTGGCGCAGCTTGAGGCCATGTCCTCTCGTCCTATCCCTTGTTACCAGGGAGAAGAGACCGACCTTCACCTCACTACAACCTCCTTTCAGGTAGTTGTAGAGAGCAATGAGGTCTCCCCTCAGCCTCCTCTTCTCCAGACTAAACAACCCCAGCTCCCTCAGCCTCTCCTCATAAGACTTGTGCTCTAGACCCTTCACCAACTTCGTTGCCCTTCTCTGGACACGCTCCAGCACCTCGATGTCCTTCTTGTAGTGAGGGGCCCAAAACTGAACACAGTACTCAAGGTGCGGCCTCACCAGTGCTGAGTACAGGGGCACTATCACCTCCCCGGTCCTGCTGGCCACGCTATTCCTGATACAAGCCAGGATGCCATTGGCCCTCTTGGCCACCTGAGCACACTGCTGGCTCATGTTCAGGTGGCTGTCAACCAACACCCCCAGGTCCTTTTCTGCCAGGCAGCTCTCCAGCCACTCCTCCCCAAGCCTGTAGCGTTGCATGGGGTTGTTGTGACCCAAGTGCAGGACCCAGCACTGAGCCTTGTTGAATCTCATACAGTTGGCCCCAGCCCAACGATCCAGCCTGGCCAGGTCCCTCTGTAGGGCCTTCCTACCCTCCAGCAGATCGACATTCCCGCCCAACTTTATATATCTGTGAAGTAAGAACACGTGTTAAAGTTGTTAGACCCAAGTTATTATTCTACCTAGTACCCATTTCTCCTCTCAACAGTCTCTGAAATTAAATCCCTTGGTTTCCTGTGAGAGGCCAGAAGGAAAAACAAACAATGTGGTAGAAAGCATAAATCATAGCAGAAACTTTCTTTTCAGGACAATGACCTAATTTGAATTTTGCTCATAGCCTTCAGTGTAACATCTAATTAAGACATCTGTTAAATGCCTATAATATTAAATTAATAGCGGGAAGCTAATAGAACTTTATTGGCATAGTCCAGTTAATTAACATTAAGGGCCTTTAATGGACATCTTAAATAGACATCATTAATGGGAATGCCATACAAATTGGAATTAGGCACAATCATGTTTCATTGTGCTGTGAAGGACATACCATATTCTACCATATGGACACATAGATGAACACGATACAACTTCCCATAGCTACTGGCATTTCCATTTTTTTAAAACTATTTCAGCAACCAAAAAAGACAAACGCTGCCTAGCAGTCCCTTTCGATAAATAATAGCAAGGCATTCATTATTTACAGTGAAGAGTGCTGAAGAGATGTTCAAAGGTCTCCTCAAGGTAATCACATGCTAGTAGCACATGAAGACAGATGACAAATGAAGAATAACAAGAGAGCTGAACAGCCAACGCATTCAAGACGCCTTTACTGCAGTTGGTAAATCACCTGAAGAGGCCTTTTTGTAATGACTCAGTGAAGTGTTCCAAACAGCCCCCATAAATCACTTAAGCTAAATCGCTCCCACAGACCGCTGGTATCACCATCTACCCATCAGCTCCTTGAACCAAACCCCTGTCCCATCTGCTTTCTCCAGAACACGGCTCTGTGTTCATCTTTCACTAGAACACATTAAACTCCCCGTTGCTTGTCAAGGAACTTCCTTTGAAACTGGGTAACGTGAAAATGACTGCTCACCAGTCCTCCCCTGCTGATTCATGACCATTCCCCGTTTCTTCATTAGCTGAGACAGTAAATACTTAATGGATTTAATATTAGAAAATTGGAGAACTAATCACAGCTGTCTCTAACATGTCTCTTCCTTCTTATGTTCAACTCTGAATTGCACGCAGCAGAGACATTTTTCGTAATGATTTTTATATTTAAACTCTCACTAAAGAAGAAGCTAACCAGGGAATAATGAACAACAATGAACAATATACTGTCTCACTACATTACACATATTTCTGCTTTCCTATTACTACGTATATATAATATATACAAAGACACATGTATTTATAACCAATCTGAACTGAAACAATTGCAAACAATCCAGTTACTGAATTTTGAACACTTAAGCAAGAATGGGAAAACAAACAAAAAACCCCAATAATTTCTGTTTGAAACCTCAAAATAATTCATTGTAGGAAATGCTTGAAATTAAAGCCAAGTCACATCCAAGAAAACACATGGAATTTTCTATTTGAGGGTTTATTTATACTTCCTCTAAAATATGGATTACACAGCAATACAATGGAAACTCCCCAGAACCTCCTGAGACTCTCATTAGGAAACTCATATTGAATCACTGAAACCACAGCAGCACGTAGCTGACATTAACTCTACATATTCAAGCCACCCAATGTTTAAGAGAAGCATAAGATAGAGCATAAAATTCTGATCTGGACCAGAGCCTTTTTTATTGAATTCTCTAGTCTCGGACAAGTTTGTCCCTGTAGCAGACTCTGTTTGTCCATTTTAGTATTTCAGGAGGACTTGCGTCAACGCAAGAGGTTAGAAATAATTTCTAAGGCTCTTAAAATCTTTGATCAAGCAACTCTTGTTAAATAAACCTTAAAATAATTTGGAACAGTAACACATAGTCCTTAATAAATAGCTGCATTTTGCAAAGGAGAAGTCCTGGCAAAGGGAATCAGTATTTTTTACTAGAAAAATGCCCCCATTGAACTGCAAAAGAAAAGGAGAGGATATGGCTACACCAGGCTGATATGATCTGGAAAAGGAAGCTTGTTTGAGGTGTGTACATAAAAGGCAGGCAAACCTGGCTTCACTATTTTTACCGTAATTTGCAAATCATAGGTTTAGAAACCTTGACTGGAAACACTGGTGTTGTTTTCTAATAGGAAGAAACCAAAAAATGGCATGGTGTGATAGAGAGTACAGAAGAAAAACCAGAGTGAGTCGGAGTTCAGACTGAATAACAAAAGGAAAGAGAATCAGTTTGGTGGGGGAAACAAATCCTGCAGAGAAAAGCTGCATTCATTGGCATGACACTGGTAATTCTGTGCATTGTCTGCAGGCTTCCACTGGTCTCGGGAAAAAGATACTCCAAATTTGCTACAGCCTGCACGTGTCACACACTAACTAACTGGG